AACCTCAATTGCATCTTTATTTTGTATTCCCTTGTATAAAACTGGACAGGTAAGGAGTGCCCTGTGCAACACAAGGAAGAGAGAGAGCTGTCCTTTAAACAAGTTCAGTAGCTAGACCACACAGGCTTTACTTTTAGCACTTTATGTTGTTTTGAAATGGCACACGTGTTTAATGAAGACTCAGGACTTTGTCAGCGATGTCGAGCTCATTCTGCTTCCTTTCTTTAAAAGCTCAAAACAAAACAAACAGAGCAAAGGAACTACCTGAGTGTGACGTTTTCAGAGTTCAGTTTTAGTTGAACTCCCCTTTAATAAAGAATTCTGAAGTTCTTCTTGTGATGACTAAACTAGTTATTTATTTTTTATTTATTTATTTATTTGTTTATTTATTTATATATTTATGTATTTAAATTTAATTAGGGGGTTGTGTATGTTGCTCTTGCAGATAATTGTTTCTCACTTTGTCTTGTGTTCATAAAGAGTTGGTGATAGAGGAAGTGAGAGTTTCATTTAAATCCCCTCGTTTGATATGTTTTTTTTAATAGAAGTGACTGATGAACAGTACATCTTATTATTTTGTTACCATTACTTACCATCACCATTACCTGAATACCATCTTCCCAGTGTTCCCATGGATGTCTATACCACAGCAGCAGTAGCTGTAAAAGCATAGCTCATGTCCCGTTCTGTGTAGGTGCACTTTAACATTAAAACCAAAGCGAGGAAATATTGTAACAAACCATAACTGGTGACATTGATGATAAGAAAGAAAATAAAGAATGCCAGTTTGACATTTTGTGGCCACACCCTAAATCTTAGATCCAAAGACTGCACCCCAAAGATTATAATGACCGGATGAAGTATTCAGACATGGAAAAATCTGAAACCAGACAATAAATGTAAAGGAATGGTTGATTCATAATATGGGTTTTGCTTCGTTAATATGTGTTTTTAGTATTATTACTTTTTTTGTTGGTGGAAAAACTACCCCATTTTTTCACCAGGAAAAGCTAAGAGAATGCATTAGGAATTCCAAAGTTGTATAAACTGACCAAACCAGTTCCTCCTACTACTGAAGCCATTCTCTTGATGTTGTCTGCAAAGTCCATCAGCTCATCCTTCCTGCTCTAATGAGGAGCAATTTCCTATAAAACTTATCAGTATCCATCAGAGGAAGTCCATTGTGTTTCATTTCAGCAGAGACAACAAGCACTTTCACAAAACACCTGAGAATTTTTACACCTTCTGATGATCTTGTTGTGATTTCTAAACAGACTGAGTTAACATAAAGGGTCGAAGGGAAGCCATCACTGTTGCACATTTGAGCCACCAATCAAGGTAGTAACAAAGCCATGACTGTTGTGATGTTATGAAGTGATGAACTACAGTCTGCATGACAGAGAAGAACATGACATACAGAACTTTTTCATTTAAAGAATTTGTTTAACCACAAAGAGAATCTGTCATGTTTTTTAAAATTTTCGAGGGAAACATCCACCACACATTTAATGCTCCAACATCAACGCAGCACAGTTGTATTCAACGCCTCTTTTGCTACCGATAAAGTCGTCAAAAGCTCACTTCCATGCGGGACATGACCAGCTCTGTTATTTATTTCTGGACTGTCAGGGGCAGCTTAAATATAGACTGGTCATTGTAGCCATTTTTCAGAACTGATTTGTGAAAGTGCCTTTTGATTTTTAGCAGCTGTCATTTTCCCGCCATTTCACAGTCTGTATTTTATGGTTTGTTAGAGTTCACAAACATGAACTCAGTGAATACAAACAAAGCTCCAAACTAGAATGTGGTTATTTTCCCATAAGAGAGTGTAGAATACATGTTTTGGAATTACAACAGATCTGTTATAAGAGGTCAGCTGATGGGACGGGACAGAAATCATTCTGAACTCCTTTCCCTCAGAGGGTCTTCTTTACTGCATAGAGGTTTCCCCAGCACTATTTAACTGTATGAGCTCTAAGAAATTCAGGAATCTGTATTTGTACAGGTTTTAATCACTTAGAAGTTTGGTACCATTTGCGCAGCACTGAATCTGCTCTGTCTTTAATTGCCTGTAAATACCAACTTTTACTACTCATGAAAAGGTCACTCATAGCCAACCATATAATCAGCACTATGCAGACACTGAGAAAAAAAATATCTGGCATGCTTTGAAATGCAAAACATATATATACATTTAAATGTAGTACTCAAAAACAATACCACTAGTAGTATAATCACTTTACTAAAAAGAAAAGCTATTTATGGTGAGACTGGACGTGGTACTAAGGGTGGTTTTGATAGGAGTGGTTAAGCTTGTTATTTGCATGCTGCATGGAAAATCATCCAGCGACGAGGGTTTGAAGTGCAAAGCAGCTCACTTTCGTCAGGTTTGTATCCATTCTTTGTGGGCGTGGGTGTCATATTAATGTTGAGAGTTGTTGGTTTAGTTGAACAAATTTTTTCCATGGTGAAATAGACAAGACTTCAATGACGGGTGAAAACACAATTGGGTGCACAAGTTTGAATTCATGGATTTTTTTTTTTAAGTAAAGAGAAAATAGAAAAAGATGGAAAACCATTGAATTCATGGATTTTAAGAAAAAACAAAAATTAGTGGAGGTGTATGTGTGTGTGTGTGTGTGTGTGTGTGTGTGAACAAGAGAATGTGTGTTTCCCATTAGATGACACCATATGTTGTATATCTATTTGTACTGACTTGTGTTGGGAACCACTTTATCAGAAAGATGGATCTGTGGTGATTCTTAGCTCAGTTTACTGTCTACAATGTGCACCTCAAATTACCCTGGTCCGGCCTTCACAGAGCCTTTGAACCCTACGTCAGGTGCATCTAAAATATTACACAGTAAAATATTACATTTAGTTTATCAAAGACAAGCTGAAAGATTACAGTTATCCAGATCCATAAACTGCAGTGTTGGCCCATTCCTTCTTTTCCTTTCAGTCTGTGGGATCTCAAACCTGTCAGCAACAACATGACTTTAAGGAATGAAAAGCTGGATTGTTCGATGCGCCACCTAATATTTGACAACGGGTTTTATGATAGCAAATCTTTTCTTTTGCACATTTTATTTCAGCTTTTGGAATATGATCTACTCACATGATACCAGGCAAATGATAATATTATCAGGAAAGACTAAAGAAAGTTGAAGGTGAAAACTGTGATCCTCCAGGTTCTGATTGTGCAATAGCAATACTACTGGCTGAACTTTCTAAGATTTCAAAAACCTTTCAATAAACCAATTTTCAAACAAAACTGCCATGGCTCACCTTGTGTTTGTGATGTTCTGTGTTCAAAATGGTTTCTGCTTCTCGAAGCATTTATTATTATTATTTTTGTTAATGCAAAGGCACCAGCTTTGAGCGTTTTACAAACTGCATATTTAATCCTAAAATTGTCATTTAGCCTAAGAACAATAAATGTGCCTGGGGAGAAAGTAACTGATAAGGAAATTCAATTTTTTTGTCCACTATTAACTAGACAGTAGTTCATCATTGTTGCCCTGATTGAATTCAGGAAAAAAAATATCTCATATATTCACATAATGTTAGAAAAATTTAGTAACATACACTTTATATTAGATACATACATATATATTCATAGACTGGCAAAAAAACAATAGTTACCTTAATACTTACCTTAATTAAATCCAGGTGGACACTTCTTTTTTGGCCAGGCAGTGTGTATGCAAAACACAGTTGTTTCTACAAACATACAATAAATATGGAATAGACTTAATATTTACACTGGCTTGTTACTCAGTGAACTGATTTGGTATAAAAATCACCAAACAGCCTGGGTCCAAAATACATCTCAGAACTTCTCCTGCACTATAAACTAAATCTGCTCTCCATCTCCAGAGACAGAACCGAACATGCAGAACTTGTATTCGGCACCAAATATCTGGAACAAACTCCCAGAAAACTGCCGGGCTCTCCAACTTCTTGAAATTGAGGTTGAAAGATTGTCCTGTTTGCCGCTGCCTTTGATTAAAGCAAGAACTTTTGGGTGTATTTTATCCTTTTTCTTTTATCAAATTATATTATTTCTTTAAGCATCTGTACTTCTAAAATGTTATGTATGTTTTATTGTTCCTTACACTTTGTCATGTTAGTAATTGTTAATGTATAGCAATTTGAGATGCACTGTTGCTGAAATGTTCCATACAAAAAAAGCTGCCATTCTTTAATAGATAGGTTCATTAAAAAGTTGTTTGAGTAGCTGACAATTCGTGGGATCTTTTCACAGTCTTGGTTTGTATTGTGTCCTGTTATAACACTTATCAAAGATGGTTACCCTAACACACCCTTTTTCTGGCAGAGCACAACAATCTCAGTCGAAGCAGTGGATGTTGCAGCGGAAATGCAAACATATTTGTCAGAGCCGTACCTCTCCAGAGTAGAAGACCACCTTAGTTACTGCTGAAGTTAAAATTAAACTATTAAAATAAAAATCTGCAACCACACTCTGTTGCATTACCACAATGAAAAAAAAAAGTTGCAGAACCACCAGTATGGAATTCATTCCAACATACTTGTGTATTATATAATTTTCACACGGTTTTATATCTCTATATTAATACTATTCATTAATTGCCAGTATAAAGTATTTTATGAGAAGTGATGAAACTGTCGGGGCTTTCATTCAGATGCAGTTCTAACACATGGCCAGCAGATGTCGCTCTTCTGACAAAGTGCCTTGGAAGCAGTTTGTCATTAGTGAAACAGTTGTGTCAAATGTGGTTCATTGTTTCATGAGGCTTCAGTTTCACCATCATCACTTGAAGCACCCCTGTTGTCCCAAGCGCACAGTAAAAAAATAAATAAATAAATAAAAAAGAAAGAAAGAAAAAACATGGCGCTGGTTGTCCCGTAAAAGGAATCAAACTTCTTCATTGTACGGGCAAAGTGTCCATCAAAAGAGTACGGAAGGGAAGGAGTTGTGGCCGGATAACAATGCGGTCGCGCGGACGTGATTTGACAAACACGGAGCCAGTCAGAGTCCTGGCGCTGTGATTGGAGCAGAGCTCTTCCGGGAAGAGGCGAGCCTGCAGACGGTGGCGTACGCAGAGTTGGGCGTACGCTCTCGAGTGGGCGGATTGTTAGCAGTGACAGCGAGGCTCGACCGAAGAAGCCCGACAAAAGTGTCAAAAAGCAAACAAGTGAAGGTGAGCGAAGCTGAAATATGATCACTCGGCTTTATTCCGCGTTTTGTCGAAGCGCTGAGAGCGGTGCGAGGCCGCGGACAGCGCGAATGTTTACCGCGGTGAAACGACGGGATTTTAGGCGAGTGATCTCACAGGCAGTCAACGTGCATCATGGGTGGAGGTCAGTGATGCGTTTGGGTGCAGCTCGGAAAGGAAACTTTCGAGCAGAGTGCATTGGGACAACTGCACTTCTGAGTGGCATTAGGCTTTCACTTTCCCCTTTGTGCTGATGGGAGAGGACCATTGGTGGATCAGACTAGCTGATATTCACGACGTCAATAGACGCAGCACTGTGAGTTGCACTACGGAGGAAAGTTGCGCAAGTTATTTGCACCCGTGTCTGTCTGTGCTGCATCTGTCTATTTGCAGACTCAGAGAAAGAGATTTTGGAACTACAGCAACATTAAAGGTCTAACATTTTTTAAGGTATTTGCATATTCCTTGCCACCTTTCAAACCAGACTTTTAGACTAAAAACATCTTAAAGCGAGATCTAAGTTATAATCCTTTTGTCCACCCTCAAAGTAAATGTTGTCAATGACTCTCAGCTACTATTACACCAGAGTTTTGCTCAAAATCTCTGAAATTGACTAAGTTAAAGCTATTTTTGTGTTACCTAACGTACCTAATTTGCTGTAGTGGCTATCTTAAATGGGACTGACTCTACAATTGAATAACTTCTAGATGCACATCCACTGACCATTATCTAATTGTTTTATTAGATAGTGATAAATAGAGTACATGAGGTGCGTACAGTAGGTATGGGGATTCACGCACCTCTTCAGCTGAACAGCAAAGAGAATGGCCAAACGACTAGTTTGTGATTTAGTAAAGGGCTGCATGATATTAGAAAATCTTGTGATGGTGGTAATATTTGTAAACATTGCGATGATGATATCAGGTGCGATATGTCTTATTTTTTCTCCTAAATATTGCATTAGCATGAAAAATTCAACTTCAAAACTCTTCAAATACATTAGTCAACAATTATTGCAGCAGTCCTTCGCAACATGAATATTGCACACACTGATATTGCGATGATGATACTTTTGCTATGTATATTGTGCAGCCCCAATTTAGCATTTTAAAGTACAAAAATGGTGCAGTGATCTGTAAAATAATCCATAATGACAAGAATTTAGCCACAGAACTCATCTATAAACACATAACTTACACTCAGTGTGTATAGTGCATCATTAACAGTCACCATGTATACTACTGGCAGTATAGACTCACTGTGTATGTTGTGCTGCAGTATGAACTCGCAGTGTACATAGAGGTGCATCATTGTGTATATCTTGTTTTGTTTTTATCATCCGTCCATTGTTTGAGATATTTTGCTAAGACTTTGTCGACTCCAAATAGTTAATAGTTATTGTCCTTTGTTAGTGCTGAACATTAGCATTAACATTAGCTGAACATTGAGAATTAGTCTTAGCTACTACCCCACTGGATTTTAGGTCAATATCTATAAATTGACTGAAATGCAGCCTTTTTTTCTAGCATCATTTGACTAAATCCAAAAGTTAATCACTTTTCGTTAGATTTAGGGACTTTATTTAAATCTCATCCAATGGTTTAGGAAATATTTTTGCTTGCAGACAGGCACACAAGCATACAGACAGGCAAAAACATTACTTTCTGCCTTTGTCCTTTGGTATCGTGTAAAGATAGCTAGGCAAATAGAACTCGGAGCCTGAGTCCACAACATTGCAGTCAGATAAAATTAAAGAAATGGTACTCTCAGGCTATGTTCACACTGCAGGCAAATCTGACCCAAATCCGATTTTTTTGACCCATCTGACTCATATCCGATTCGTTTATGACAGTCTTAAAGAGACAAATCCGATTTTTTCTAATCCGACCCAGGCCGTTTCAGTATGTGGTTTTAAATCGGATACATATCTGATGTTTTCAAAGTGACTGCAGTGTGAACGCTCATGTCACATTCATCTGACTTTTTCATCAGGAGGAGGGGGTGAAGGATCGATAAGAAACTAACCTCAAGTCACGCTGTTTAAATCTGTAGCTCCATGTGTTTACAGCTCCAAAACACAAGTCCAGTTGCTTCATCTTTTACTTTTCATTTTCCATGTAGATAGTATGATAATAACATGTCCAGCCTGGGTCGCGGAGAGTATCGATCCTAAAGTTAGCTACTCGATCGATACTTTTTCCAGCTCGTAGTTTCGTTTGAAAAAAAAAGCTTCACTGGAGCATCCCGGTCAGAGGCAGGTTCAGATATAAACACTGAACTAAAGAAGCAGGTCAGATAATTATTTAATCRGCTCTGATTAAACAACAACTTCCGATTCGATGTGCAAAATGTAGCATCCATGCTAGCTCTGTAAACAAACAAGCCGGCTGATGAGACGTCACGTCTTTTACTGCGCATGCGTGTCACATCAGTGCTGTGTAGCTTTCACACAGGGGTCTGATGCAGGCCACATTTAAAATGTAATGTGAACGTTCACACAAAAAGATCGGATTTTTTTCAAAAAATCAAACTGAGCATTAAGACCTGCAGTGTGAACGTAGCCTCAGACACATAGCTATCTTCTGGTGCTACTTTGGATTACTCAAAACGAAAAAAATAAGTAGGTCCTCTGGATGGGTTCTTTAGTGAAACGTTTTGTCTCTCGTCCAAGAGACTTCTGCAGTCTGATGAGTTTCAGGTGAACTCAGCCTTATAAGCACTGCCTCCACCTGGTGGACAAACAGGTTAGTCACATGCAAAAGAGGCCCATCGCCTAACAGTAGGCTTGATTAGCTCTATTGTTCTTAGAGGGTCATGTGCCCCATCACCCGTCTTATTGGTTTGGATGCTGTGGTTCTTAGGTGCTGTGTCATGTGTATGTAGTGAATGCAGGCGGGGCTCAATGTCCCACTTTTTTGGCTTATTTTTCCCTCTTTGTGTTGGTATAATTTGGGCCCTGATTCACACCTTTTACTCACAGAGGGCTGAGTCATACTTGCAATAACAGCATTGTAGGAGGAGGACAACTGGACACGAAGACCTCCACCTCTGTTTAATGGTGGATGGTTTTTCTTCACAAAGATGGCTTCCTTTACTTCTCTCTCAAACCACCGTTCCTCTCCATCAAGGACGAGAACATCTTCATCCCTGAAAGAGTGACCGCTGGCCTGTAGATGAGTGTAAACTGCAGAGTCCTGACCTGATGACGTAGCTCGTACTTTGGATTACTCACTACTAGTTGTGGTAAAAATGTGTGTGGGGAAAAACACCAGATAAATAAACAAAAAGTGCTAATATTTAATGGTTTAGCATTGACAGTGTAGACCAGCTTCAAGTTTTTCATTTCAGATTTGGGTACAGTGAGTCTAGTTGGGGCATACGTGTCAGCAATGCGCCGTTGACATAATCGTTTAGCCCCCTCACTTCAGTGTACCGTAGCCCCAGACAAAAAAAAAAAAAAAAAAAAAAAGTTTATTCAGGGGAGAAAAAAACTGATTAGTGTTGTGTATGCCATTTAATAATGTGGGTAGTTATGCCCTATATTTAGTGGAAACTAAAAAAAACAACTACACAAACAATAGGTGAGCCAGCTCCTCACTGGACCACCTTCATTTTAAAGGGAATAGGGACCCCTTTCTGAAGACAGTAGTATGTTTAATTTAGACAGAGAATATACGGTAATTGGTTTCAGAGAGGAACATTGGAAGCAAACTTGTACCAAACAGGAAAGACCAACTACTTTTGAGGTCTCAAATTTCACCTTTCTACTAGCACATAATGTGCAGCTTTGAGTTTGCTCCCATGAGTTTCACACAAATGGTTAAACAGTTACTAGCTTTGATAATTACTATGGTAAAATTTCTAACAGTTAAAATGAGTCTTGCTATTTATGAAGTGATGTTGTCAAACATTTATTAATAGTGAATACTGTACCAATGACATCAGTCCATGGAGCATGAAGTATGGAGAAAGAAGTGAAAAGATTATTCTAACAGCTAATGGTTTTTCAGACGTTTAACAACTCCTTTTTTCAAAAATGACATACTGGTGTGAATGAACACTATATGTTAAACCTCTGCATTTTTGCACAACTGCTTTAATTTACGTTGTTGCTGTTTTCTCAAACAAACAACCTTTGTGTTACTATGCAAATGTGCCAAGCAATTAGATCATGTTTATATGTGGAGGCTGCTGATGGGATCAGTCTGCCTGATCAACCAGTCCAAAGTTATTTACTCCTGGAGAACTGATAAATTCAACAGTCTCCACTATGAAAGCCGTTTGCAACCTTTGTTCGGAAGAGGAAAAAAAATGCTGTTCAAACATCACAGCGTGTTTCTCTCACTGCTGCCATGATAATCTGAACAGGAAGCTAATTAACACCTGCAAGTCAAAGAGTTAAACATTACCTGAAAGCTCTCTCTCACACTCTTTGGGAAATCACCACTGATCTTAGCTCGTTAGTTGAGTTGTAAGCCTGAAGCAGCCAGTTTATTTCATCACGTGCTAACTCTTGTAGCATGTTTTAAAACAGCGTTACGCCAAAAGGCTTTAAAAAAACAAAACAACTGAATTTGTCTTCTGTAGCTGAAGATGTTTCACTTCCCATCTAAGGAAGTTTCTTAACACAAAATTGAAAAGTGTGGAATTTACACCTTTGAAATAGGGCTGCCACAAACGGTTATTTTAATAATGGATTAATCACCGATTATTTATTCGATTAGTCGACTAATC